TTATTATTATTATTATTATTAGATCTGTCTAAGCGTTAGTCTACCTATTACCAGACCTACCTACACTATAGCAATCTAGCCTAGAGTCCAATGGAATACAGCAATAATCGATACTACTCCTAACTCATCTCACATCTAGTCTAGTCTAGGCGATACATTTGTTGGCTTTATAGTTTTCGTTTTGGAGCACCTTCTCCTTAAAGCTCGCTGGGTACACTTAAGCTTTTATAAAACGCCAACTTCCTCTACGTTAATGCGGGCTTTTCAAAAAAGTCTCTTAGTTTAGTCTCTAGCAAATGCACAAACAACAATACTTAAGCTTAGCTCCTAACTAAATAGAAGCTCCTCCAATCTAATGTTTCATCTATAAGCTAAGCGCCATTTTATTGTAACACTTTAAACAAAAACTTAACCTAATGGAAAAACGGAAACATAAATAGTTAACTTCAAGAAGCGCAAACTCAACAACAAACTAATTGTTATATTGTGTTATGAAACAAGAAAAAAAAAGAAAAAAACAATGAAAAAAACAAAGAACAAACTGTTTTTAATCGAAAGATTTTAAGAGAAAAACTTGTTACTTTAAGCTAGAAATGAAATACCTTTTAACACTGTTAGAGACCGTCCCCACACCGCCTTGAACAGTGTACCAAAGCTGCAAAATTATCGATAGCACTGCTGATATCGTTCAAGATTAATAATATTTTGGTTTACGCAGAAATGGTCAAGGCAGGACGTAACCGAGCCTACCTAATTGGTTTTTAGTCTACTTATCGATATATTTATCGATCGTTTTGGCAACTCTACGCTCGACCACACGCTCCGCCCTAGCCGAACAGTTGTTATTTGTAGTCAAATGTGGCGATTAATCGAAGGCCTAGCCACGTCCACTATAGAGAGTTTCGTAGCGCCTAGAAAGCAAACGTTCTTAATCGTTAAGCGTTATCGATAAACAAAAAATAACAGAGCAAGCTAACGTAACTATTCGCATTGTGTATGTAGCGCACGACGAAAAAAACGAAAAACAAGCGACACTATTCAGATAATATTTATATATCTATACACACCACATATACTATATACATATGTTCTATATGCTACTACCTACTAACAATATGTAAGAGATACAACAACAACAACAACTAACTAACTACTAGTCGGCGTTTGAGTTGTGCGCCATTTCGCATTGTACAAAAAAACAAAATATGCCAAATCGACATCGATATCGATGACGGTAGCGCATCAATTCAAGGAACAATTTCAATGGGTTCAATAAATGGGTCACAGCCAGCTAAACAGTCCAACTAAATTTAATTAAACGTACCAAAAGGAAAACAAAACCAAATGAACTATAAATCGACAAGCACAACTTAATCGAAGTCTCTTAATCATCTATACTGTTAAGTGAATCTATATAGTCTATGTATGCACATGGGAGACATATGTACAAACATAAGTATTATCTTGTTTTTCACATTCGTTCTGTAATTGTTAATCTTGGAAATGAGAAGTAAATAGATTTTATTTTTTATTTTTTATTTACATACGCCAGGGACCACAAAAGTTTTGAGTTTGGTATTTCCTTTTTATACAAGGACAAACGTGACAAAAGTTTAGAGCACGATGCTAGCAAATGTAATACAACTAAAATCTAACGGATCTTACGATATATAAATGCAACTATGATAAATGTAAACTGTATAAACTTCATCACATAGCTTGCATCACAACAATGCAACCAAACCAGCACTCCAACACACACCAAAGTTGAAGGGATTGAGAACATCTTTAAGAACTCTTCCATATATAGAGCTTTATCTCTGAAATTTGAATTTGAGCGTGAGCCAAGAATAAACAAGAAATCACGTCGATAGCTATGAAAGAAGCAGAAAAAATACGCCCTAAAATATTCGAGTCTATTATCGAAAATTGGTTATCGATAAGGCTACTACTTTCGAAGGTATACCCAGCAATAGCTGAAAGAATTACAAATATGATAGACAAATTTCGGTTCGATCGTTTTTTTTTTTGTTTCAATTTTTCCAGAATACGGAATATATCTATGTGGTATTTGCAATTCCTTCAAGTATATCGATCACAGACTTGAATCTAAATTGTAATCGAAATATTACAAAGAAAGTTCCAATCGATAGTAGAAGAGAAAACACATCCACAAACACACACGAATTGTATGAAACTCTGTGAGTCAATTATAATACTTATGTAAATGAATACTTTAACTGATTTATTGACAACAAATCCCCAATCGACCCTCCCTCCCCATTCATATTCCCATCTTTCGACTCTCTCTCTCTCTGTAATAATTATGTATATGACAGTATTTTAAGTATTACAAATTGATGTCGTTGTTGTTGTTTTAAAATTAATCGCTTTAAAGTTATCGATATTTTTGTACACTAGTTTAAGGTAGCCTATTAAGAGTTCCCCACAAGAGCCTAGTCTTAACGTATTCATAATTTTGTTTTTCATTTGGTTTCTGTTCCACGCACCCCTTCTCTCTCATCCTCCCTCTTTCTCTCTCTCTCTCTCTCTCTGTATCTGTAATTTTATTGCTAATTTCGTCAGTTTAAGAACAAATGAATGCAAATTATTATAGAATTAAAGAAATATATGAAGTATACATAAAGAAAATGAAATTAGCACATGTTAAAGAAATGCAAATAAAGAAACGAAACAGTTTAAGCGAAATCCCGAAAGGATTAACAGAACAATTGCCTCTCAATTCCGAACAAACTCTTCGTGTTCCAAAAAAAAAAAATAAAAAAGACAACAAAAATTGCATCATATCAATTCGACTCATTCACTCAGATATGATGTTGCTGCACTAAAGTCCTTAAATTATATAGCAAAACAGATGAGAGATCATAAACAAACCTCAGATAAATAAAAATATAAAATAATACTAAATATGCGAAAAACAAATGCAACTAAGGTGAAATTTGATAAATGAAAACAAATACAAAATATGAAGAAAAAACATAATACAAATAATAATAACAAGATATATATTGAATAAATTGATGAAAAAAAAAAAACACAAAATAAGCAAAAAATAAGTCAGTTGTCGAATCACCTTTTCTAATCGGTACTTTTTGGTATACTTAAAGTATATTTCTAGGGAAGCTGCCTAAGGAGCTGTGATGCTAAAAAGAGATTAAAATGTTGAAATTAGGCTATAAAAATGCATAAACCCACATGTAAGTTAATATGATGTATTCTAATCAAGCCTATATCTTCGAGATCTCGTTTATCCTAAAAGGTAATGGAATAGCATTTTCCTCTTCGCGTTATATGGTCTGATAATTTGTAGAGACTTTCATTTGACTAAAGTAAAAAATATTCGAGCTAACTAAGATTTATATCCAAATCATAAATTTAATAATTGGCTGGGAAATATTACAAATGAATGAGGGAACTAAATTGTATGGAATTC